GGGATAGATGCACGTTTTCGTATGCACCATCATGGAAGCACAGAATAGGAATGTTTGATTGTCCAATTTTGAGATGTGATGATAGTTGATGAAAGCACAAATTATGAATGCTTTAATTTTCCAATTTTTAGAGGTTAAGATAGTTGTTGATTATTGTAGGGGAAAGTTAATACAACGTGCTTAGAAATATAAAGATGGTGGCCTATAATTCTCAGATCATAAAATTTGAAGTTGAGAGAAGTTTATAAGTATATAGAGTAACACCAGTGTGAAATATGTAATAATTTTAGAAATCCACACTCGAACTTATATGCATGTATTGAAGTGCAAGTCTTTTGCTGACAACTCTGTCTATATAGGTGTAATGGACCTTTCTTTTTCATGTTTTTAGTTTTAAATATAAGCACATCTGCTATGTTTTAAAATGTGTAGGTTATTGAAAACGTATTTGGGAATACATGTTAAGGTATGAGCAAATAGTGCTAGACTTCTGACATGCAATTTCTTTAGCCATAAATGCTAGATGTACACTCCAAGTGTACATTTTCCTTGGCATTTGATGTGTTGTAAAAAAATGAGTGGAGGGAATATATATATATATATATTTTTTCATTTGAACCGCCAAACTTGGTGCGTACACTTTTGTGTACACCAAGCAGAATTGTTCTTTGGCTGGTGTTACAGTCAAAGTGCAAGAAGCTACTAGGTACTCTAGATAATCTGCGAGAAGCTACTAAAGCTACTAGGTACTCTAGGTAATCTGCTCAAAATAGTACTTGTCATCTCTGATTTCAGGCTCATCTAATATAGCACAATTACTTAGTTATGTTTTGCAAATTTAGAGATGTTAAAGGGATATTTTTTTGACGTTGACTTTTGTTAAGTAATGCACACTTATCTCCCCTTACTCTGTGGGGGTACTAATTATAGGGTAATATCCATAGAAAAATTTAGATTTCTTAATTCAAGTAATATGAATTCGGTCTTAAGAGTTTTCATGAGGTCAGCAACTTACGCCAACTTTCAGCCCTATGGGATAGACTAGGGAAAAAACTTGAAAAGATTATTGAAAATATCCTGAAGCATGGCATATGGATAATCTACAAATTCAAAAAACAATAGAGGTAAAGACATGTTTGACTTTCGACCTCTGCACACTTGGCAAGAGAGAGTGAACTTCATGTCAGAGTGCTGTCCCTGAATGATCCACTATGACTATTATATAGATTGTATTTTATTTAGGCTCGATGTATAGTGCTTGCTTGTGCTACAATCTTAGCTCCTTAGTTCATAGGACTTGAGCCTATTTGGCTGGAACAACATATATTCAGCTTTCTAACTGTAGAAAGGTATGCCTAACCTCCTTTCACTTTGCTCAAATCACTTCTGGCAGTTTGACCCTATCTTCTTATCTGAGGTTTTGATTAGAATTCATTACAACTTTATATTCATGATGTCAGTTGCACCAAATTACAATACTTATGGTTGCAAAAAATATATTTCTAGTGTTTTTTATAAAGCAAAGGGCTCACCTGAGGTGATGCCCTTGAATTTTTTGTTCTCGATCACAACATTCATCAATGTCAATATCAGGCACCGAAGAGGGGGTTTTGGATTTAGAAATTGAAGCTTTAAATTCCATTCCCACCCCTGCACACAAATTTCTCCCAATATTAAGTATCGTGTGTATAGGTGAAGCTTTTCCATTTGAATTGTTCGAATAGGAAGTGGAATGGGGAATTGGAGAATTGAAGCTTAGTCTCCTTTCATTGAATGGCCCATATGACTTTATAACATTCAAGTTCTCACGCATGGACCCTCTATCCCTCGTCTTAGCACATCATAGCCGTGCAAGGGAAAATAATCCTGATTTCAAATTTGAAATTGTTCCTTGAGCAGCAAATGAGATGAAAGAGAATGGTTTGTTAGAATGTTGGTGATGCAC